ATGCCCATATAGTTTTTGTAACTAATTGCCAGTTTTAATTTTTTAAAACAGTTTATTATATCATGTAATAATAGCTATCTTTGACAAGGTGTGCGCCGCTTGCTATTGATTTTATAATTTGTAACCAATTGCCAATCTTAATTTTTCAAAACTAAGTTTATTGTATCAATATTCATACACATTCTAACACCAGGCGTGCGTCATCTAATGGCTTTATAATTTGTTTTTCATTGCCAAATGGCGACAATTTCAAAAACCACAAATCATTTGCTTATGTTATGTAATAAAAGAGACCTGTCTCTAACCATTGTGCCACGTCAGCTAAGGGTGCATTCCCAGAGATTTAGATCGATCCAGAGATTTAGATCGACCTAACTCCCTGGGGGTTCACGCTAAATTGCAGTCAGCCGAGCGGGCACCATAGTTAATTACCCCCTTACAGCTTTTAGTAGGCGGGACAGACGCTTAAGCCGGCCAAGCTGACAGTAATCTAGTGAGACTCCCCACAGGGATAGATCGATCTGAAAATCTATGGAAATGGGGTGTAAGAAACGCCTTTATAAAGCGCTTGCGCTTTATCTTCAGTCCCCATTCCTGTTCAGAATACCATCTTGGCGTTCAAGACAAGACGAAGATGTCCAGGTTCATGTATGCTCTGCTTGCTCTCTGTTTAGCACTGGCGATCTTCGCTGGAAGCACTCACGGCGGATATGTCTGTAAGTACAAAATTATCTAAAGCTGATGGTTCGTTCAGTTTTATGTCGGTTAGCGGTCAAAATAGTTGATAGGAAGCCAGTTTTATTTGTGTGTGTGTGTGTGTGTGTGTGTGTTCGTGTGTGTGTGCGTGTTCTTGCACGTGTGCGTGCGTGCATGCGGCTGAGTGTTAGAGGGGATCTACCTTTATATACCTGGCCCCGGTTTCACAAAAAAAAAAAAAAAAAAGTCATTTCCTTGGCTTAGTTGACTAGGATTTCCATGAGAGTGCTGTTACACTGCTCCTGAAAGGATAAGATTTGCCAATGTGACCATGTAGGCCTAACCTTGGTAATTTAATTTTTTTTTTTTTTTTTTTTTTTTTTTGTAAAAACGGGGCCTGACTTCTAAAGTGAAATACCAGCAGAGAAGTTTGTTTTTTTTTCGTGCTGTTTGTTGCCAACCCTTCTCTCGATATACGTAAAAGAAACAGCAACATTTTTAAAACCAATTGGTTAGAATAAAGGTCTGTAAATTGTCACAAAAAAAAAAAAAAAAAAAAAAAAAAAAAAAAATTCTAAAGACTGAGGCAACCACTGCTGGATTTTGGAATTCAGTTTTGAACTGATAAACTCAAAGTTGGATAATGTGAAAATTGGACAGTTATGTAATGTAGATAATTCAATCAGGGAGGGAAGAAATGGTAAACTCAAAGTTGGATAATGTACGCGTGGAACTTTGGTCTCATTTAATTAAAGGTACATATGAACCGAGCATCGGTGGAGCGTGGATTCGAAGAAACACTTCTACTAGTTTCTTATATGACTTAAATAAATTCAGCATGCCAAGGGATAACCTGAATAAATCACTCGGCCAGCCATTTAAGTGCTTTAGAATGCTCCTTAATTTCTTAAAATTTTTGGTCAGAAATTTAACCTACTTCTGTGGCCTTTCTGCCCACTTGATATACAGCATAAAATGCCAGCAGAAAAATCCGTTCAACTATCATTTTCCGGGGAAAATTAAACAATGCCTTTTGGTAATTCTCTTAGTTATACCACTTGAAACTATATGCTGGCATTTGGTTGGCTTTTGTGGAAAAAAAATTGACTTCATATGCATCTTTAAGCCGTAGTACCTCAATCTCAGAACTTTTAACGGATTTATGCAGCGTCACCACTTCATTCATTTTAGGTGAAATGGGAAAAATCCTGCTTTCTATGAACACCTTGGGGGACAAAAAGGTGACGTTTGCAACACCATTTGCCACGAAACCGGATGTTTCCGTAGCTTTGGCCGCGATGGACGCATCGTAAGCATCCATTTTATTTTCACTTGAGTTAATTTTAAAATTCAGCTGTCGTTTTGTTGGTCATCATGTATGTGTATTTATAGTAAGGCTCTATATGATTGTTAAGAAGGTATTTTTAAGATAGTTGAATCAAGGCAAAGCCTATTTAGAGATAACTGAATAAATGTAGCCGATGAAACCGTTTGAATGGAATGCTGATTTCTGTTGCAGGAACACCAAGAACATGCGTATTAGAGCCTTTGCGAAAGATATCGCCACTGATGGGTTCATCGCAGAAACACTGACATGGGACGATACCATCTTGTATACCGTTGCGGTTAGTTGGATCGCATGCGGAGAGCGGGACAGATGTGCTGGCATGAATCACAACCAACAATAACCTCAACCCCAAACCAAGAATAATCCCCAAAAATAACCTCAACTCCAAACCAAGATTAACCCCAACCCGAATAATAACACCCAACAATAACCTCAACCCCAACCCAAGAATAACCCTCAACTCGAGTAATAACCCCCAACAATAACCTCAACCCCAACCCAAGAATAACCCTCAACTCGAATAATGACCCCCCAACAATATCCTCAACCCCAAACCAAGAATAACCCCCAACAATAACCTCAACCCCACACCACGAATAACCCCCAACAATAACCCCAACCCCAAACTAAGAATAACCCCAAACAATAACCTCAACCCCAAACCAAGAATAACCCCCAACTCGAATAATGACCCCCATCAATAACCCAAACCCCAAACCAAGAATAACCCCCAACAATAACCCCAACCCCAAACCAAGAACAACCCCCAACAATAACCCCAACCCTTAACCAAGAATAGTCCCAACCCAATCCCCAAACAAAAACTGAATACCGTCATCTGAAGAAGCAGAAAAAGGAGAAACAAATTTCACTTCAAATGGTTTATTGTTGGAACGCAGTTTCCAGCTTAATTGCATCCTCTGAAATTTTTGACTGATTGAATAAAATGTCCTATCGCATAATTGTCGTTTCTCTTGTAGATTCTTGTTTTATTCTTTAAAAGTGTCTTTTTACCTCCGCCAAGGAAGTTATGTTTTCACCTCTGTTTGTTTGTTTGTCATCAACATAACTCAAAAAGTTATGGACCGATTTCGATGAAATTTTCAGGAACTGTCAGAAGTGGCAAAGGAAGAGATGCTTAGTTTTTGGTGGTGATCCGGATCAATAATCAATCAATAATCAATAATAATCAAAAATCGCTGCCTTGGCGGAGGTCTGCGCTCTCGCAGTGCTTTTCTAGTTTTGAGTAACATTTTGTCAACGATATTGATTTCAGCGGGTGATATGAAAGGGTATCCCTACCGTTATTTTGGCTTTAATAATTGAGTTTCATCAATCAACCAACGCATCATTTACGTTTATTCGATTTTATTTTATTTTTTATTTTCATTATTATTATTAGTATTTTTTGTTCATTTGTAGCCCTATTCATTTTTCACTTATCGCATTTTCCTGTTGTGCAGCCTTAAATGCGCGGATCCCTCAAGAGGCGGCACATCTACAGCAATTATATGATCCCCAATCGTTTCCTTTCCCTTCGAATGCAACATGCCATGTACATGAATCGGTCATAAACCACAGGCGGAGAAATTATCAACAAACAAATAAATAGGCATTTGCTGGTAAGAATGTTTGAAATAAATAAATAAATAAATAAATAAATAAATAAATAAATAAATAAAACTGAAGCGAATTTGACAAACGGCGATAACACCTATTGAGAATTTTGAATCACATAAATATGTTCATATTTTTCAAGAATAATAAAAACTTTTTATTTGTTATCCAAAGTCCGACAAGATGTACAGGCCCGTAGCCANCTCAAGAGGCGGCACATCTACAGCAATTATATGATCCCCAATCGTTTCCTTTCCCTTCGAATGCAACATGCCATGTACATGAATCGGTCATAAACCACAGGCGGAGAAATTATCAACAAACAAATAAATAGGCATTTGCTGGTAAGAATGTTTGAAATAAATAAATAAATAAATAAATAAATAAATAAATAAATAAATAAAACTGAAGCGAATTTGACAAACGGCGATAACACCTATTGAGAATTTTGAATCACATAAATATGTTCATATTTTTCAAGAATAATAAAAACTTTTTATTTGTTATCCAAAGTCCGACAAGATGTACAGGCCCGTAGCCAGGGGGGGGGTTCGGGGGTTCAAAAGAACCGCCCCTTTTGCTGGGAAAAGGTCCACTCTGGGTAAAATTTGATCTAGTTACATGAAGTTTTTATGGGAAAAGGTCCACTTTTTCAGAAAAAGAACCCCCCTTTTGAAACTGCTGGCTACGGGCCTGATGTACATACGTGAACGCTCTCGCAACTGACAAGAAAGCAAACACGCTAACACATTTAGCTCCGTTTTTTAAATCCCCGCATTTGTGCATGTTCTTCACTGAAAGGAATCGAATCCTACGGGACATTTGCGCCTTCGCGTCAAATAAAAAGAAAACAACAATTTCCCCTATTTACGATTCACTGCCAGTCCCGGATGTGTACTTGCATTGAATGTTTTGAACCTTCCTGCACAAAGTATTTTGCGGGCTTTTATCGCTCTAAAAGTCGGGATCGGGAAGGAAAGGCAGCCTTGAAACATATCCTGACACAAAAATATGACCTCGGGGGCATTTTCAAAGGCGTATAGCGAACCATTTATGCCAAACCTTTTACCTTAATTTGACCTTGGTTCCATCATCTTGTAACTGAGACAAGGAAAACCTTCAACCCATGCTACATTCATTAGGCAAAGGTATAGTAGTCATTAAAGGGCATTCGAAAGGGTGAGATTACCAGTAAAAAACACTCGGTTTTCTCAACTTCCTATCAAATTTCACAAACTGACGTTTAAATTGCTACAGACTCTTGACAGCCAATTTATATCGCTAGTGCTGCACACACTAGTGGCCCCCCCGTCCCCCCCCCGTCCCCCCCCCCTTTTTTGCAATATACCAAGACAGGCCGGTGCCGAACGCGCGTAACCATAAAAAGATCCATAAAGGAGACTGCATGGCCTAATAGTGGGCAGAGATGGAGGAGTTCATGTTATATATTTTTCCTCACAAACACTATATCTTGTCCTCCTAGAATTGTCCCGTCTTTATACAACCCTGTCTCTTCAAATATCTTCCTGATCGCCTTTTCCCGTCTTGGTGTATCAGGACTTCCCCCGTGCACCGCGTACTCTATCGTCCAAACGTCCACGGTGACCTGGTTCCATGGAAACGATCTGAGGATTTCTATTTCCGCTCCCTCCACGTCGAGAGAAAAATAGTCCACGTGATTCCGGCCAACGGCGGCAAGGAGGGAAAGAATGGGGAAGCAATGGACGCAGCTCATCCCCTGGAAGTCATGCTGCTCTGCTGCCAACAGCTTGTAACTTTTCCCTGAGATTCCTCCAAGTTCTTTTGCGAAGGTGAAGGGGACCACTGCCGGAAAGCGGCTAGTCGCTAGGCACGAGTTTACAGCATACGCCTTCCTAAAACAAAGGAAATTGATGGCATAACGATAATATCATCACACAAGTAAAACTGGCAAATACGAAGGAAGTACAGAAAAGGGACTGATGAATGGATAAAGAAGTGGACGAAAGCATAAATGGATGATTCGAACAAGGGGCCGTAAAAGGAAAGGAGGAATAGGGTGTAAGATAGATAGGCCCTACTAGTAGATAGATAGATAGCTGGATAGATAGATAGATAAGGGGGGCGTGCAGACAGATATAGAGACTGACTTACTGAAGGATACTCCTTCCTAACGAGTTTTCTTTCGACTGCTTTGCCTAAGCTACGAAATTTCGATAGACCTTTATTGTTTAGGACGTAGGCCTACAATGAGTAGGCCTACCAGACAATTATACAACAACAACAGCAACAACAACAATAATAATAATAATAATAATTGTAAAGGATATTTTAACTCCTTCCTTATTATAACCAAGGTTTACAAAGTAGACTGGGTTCTACGTTCTAGGTTTGTATAGTCTTGGCATCACAACCGTAATAAGGAGAATTTTGCTGGTATGCGTACTTGTGACAGACGAAATAACTTAATTGTTTAAAGATCACAAATAGGGTATATTTGATAATAAATACAACATTCTGAAATTTAGGGTTTTTATTTTCTTTTGCTTAATTAAAGGTCTATCACGTGTGCACGAGTGTTCTAGGTAGGACCTAGGCCTACTTGCTCTCGGTTTGGCTTAAATCCAGTAGGCCTATTTTGACTTTTTAAGAATATATAAGAATCTGCTGAAAAAAATTCACCTGTTTTTCTTCAACAGATCTTTAAAGGACCACGGGTTTGGTTCTACGAGCAGGCCCTCCCAGCCTCTTGAAATCTCGAAAAAGAGAGAATTAGAATTCCCCTCTCCATCAGCAGCCCCTGACTCGACAAAGAATCCATTACGGCGCTGTTTGAGTATCCCGTCCACGAGTTTCGCTTGTCCGATTTGTGACCACGATTGCCTATTTGGCCTGGAAAGATTATAAGGTTTTTTTGAGGGCTCGAAAACCCAATCCTCCTTCAACTGTTTTAAAAGGCTGTCCTGCGCTGTACCGGTGTCCTCGAGCCGCTGATTCTTAAGAAATGCAGATGACCTACTTCCAAAATGGGTGCATTTTAAAAACGGTGGAATGCTTGCGAGTTTGGATACTGGTTTCGTTTGAAACTCAATTAGGAGAAAGGCGGCGCAAATGACGATGACAGTAATTGTAAAGTAGACGATAGCTGACCCTGTCCTCGGGGCCATGCTGCCTACACAGCTGCTGAGAGAATCATATGTGGTCTTCGTCTATAATCCTGTTGCCTGAAAGGAACAAAAAGAAAGGAATTAAAACCTTTTGACATAAGTGATTTTTGCGCTGCCATTCACACATTTAGAGCACTTTCAGAACACCGGACTTACAGATCTGCAGATCAAATATGGCGACCCACTAAAAAGCTTGCAGTTTAATTCCCCATAAGTCACTGAATAAATTCCCCGCGGGGATTACTCAACAAACATTCCAGTGAGGCGGCCATATGTGATCCGAGGATCTGTTAGTCCGCAGTTCCGAATGGGCTCTATAGCCAAACATTGAGATATATCTATACTATTATTCTCTACCAGTGTCCTTGATCCCAAAAATTCTCGCGTGACACAATGTTCAGAAACGTACACAGAATAGCTAGATAACTATCTGAGAGTATCTAGAGAAGAAATACCTTTCTGTGGTACATTTGTGACCTCTCTGTGACCTCACAGTGACATCACTGCGATTTCTCTGGGACGAAATATTTACCGGAGATTGCTCACGTGGAACCTTACCGGTACTTATCTCTTCACCGTTTCGAAATTAATAAAATGTGTTGAATTTATAGCATAGTATTGAGACAAAAACATTTAATGATAAATGAAAATCAATCATATCAATGGGGTAGGATTTTTTTTTCATTCACAGGTAACGAAATTGGATGTTGAACGCATATCTGACAACTATTTATATTTAAGGCAATTATTTAGATTCTTAATTTGACGATTTGCAAAATGGCAGACAAAACTGCCAACCGAATGTTTCATCAATGACAATAAAAGGCGCTATAGTGTGCAATATGTCTTTTCTATTGTTTTAGGGGTTGTAGAATCCATTTCTAATGTTAGTACAGTACTGCTATCGCTATGTTTCAAGAGTGAGTTTCCGTTACCATGTTCGCTGGCAGTTTACTTTCAAGGTAGATTGGAGAATCAAATCTCGAAAATAAAGACAATTAGCGATCTCAATCACAGCGGTAGGATCTCTCAACATCTGATGGATATGAAATGTAAGGAAGAATCAGAATTATCCTAACCTCAAACAAGCAATAGGTGAATATCTTACATTATTAAAGAATGATGGATGACATACACTGTATCATTGTATAGCATGTATGAAGCCAAGGTAGGAATCGCTTTCCTAAACTAGTCGCCGAGGAAATACCCAATGTCTGCATCAACAAGAATATTTCTCTCTCTTTGAAAGTAGCATCCCCAACAGAATATTGTTGGATTATAAGACATTTAGGGAATTAATGAAGCAGTACCATTCAGTGAAGTGCAAACTAGATCGTGTTGATTACGAAGAATAAAAAATAATGCAATCAACTTTTAAAAAGAAGTGCCTGGCGAAATGTTTTATGTTGTTTAGGAAAATTTTGAACAGATTTATCTAACACGCGATAAATTAAACAAGTACTACACAAAAATAATTTATGAAACGATGAGTATCCTCGTTGATTTTTCATTCACGTTCCTTACTGTCTACACACACACACACACACACACACACACACACACACACACACCCTAACATCAAAGGTGTATGAAAGTTATTTCAGTGACTTGTTACTATAAATAAATAAATAACAAAGAATACCAGCTGGTCGCCTTTCTGACATGTCTGCGCATGATCAATATCACTCGCACTATTTACACTGGTGACATCCATTTGCGATATACATTTACAGTTACATTCAACTATGTACATTCGACAGTCAATGATATAGAATAAATGCCATTAAAAATCACATTAAATCGTTCAAAACCTACAGGCAATGTCACCTTGCTCAAGACAGGTGTGACGATGGGCGTGTTGCGCGGAGACTGAAATATAATCGTGATGTCGATGGTTTCTGCCACAAAGATCATACAGCGTCTGACAGTTATTATATCCCATGGGAATGTCACAAAGATATATGTAGTGTAGCTCAGTCTATGTATTTCTCACCACACAATACAGTTAGTCAGTTCTGCTGGTTATTAATGCGTTACACTCCCATTTTGTCCATTCTTTTGTTCACTTCGCGTTCAAAATACGTCCTATATCATTTGCTTGCCGTATGACTAATAACATTACCGACTAGGCAAGTGTTTTGTGTTTTTTTTTTTTTTATCTCGCCTTAAGTCATCCTTGCTGTAATTTCACGATACCACAAAATGGGTCACCATGCGGTTTCTCCTTCTTGTTGGACCTGTGTGCTACCCGTGTACATGCGACCAAGCCGAGACACATTAACCTGGTTACGGCACTGCAGACACAGTCAACTATAACGATTAAAGGGATAATAACTCTTCGTATGAGATCTATATTTCACAATAAAAACATTGTGAATAACTCATAGAAATATAATATATTCTGTTTTACCACAAAAACAGCAGTTATAGCTTTTATTCTGATATTTGAACTTGTCTTTAGACCACGTGACCTCCATTGATGTCTATACTCTGTTAAAATCTCTTAAGAGATTTTAACAAAAAACCAAACTTTTTAGAAAAAAACCAGGGACTAACTTTGAATGTAAAAATGGATTCATTAACCATTGGTAAGTATGGGAAAATTGTTGTTTACTCCAGGAAAATTCATTTTTTGGCCGAAACGAAGAGTTATTATTGCTTTAAGTATTTATAAGGAAAATAACGTTTAAGAAAAGGCACCAACGTGACGACAAAGAGGTACCTTTATCAAGAAAAAAAAAAACGCTAACTGCAGATCTCACACGTGCCTCGGTTGTCTGTGAATGGGGTATAACAGCGTTGAGGGTCTGCCGCTAGATGGGGTGGGGGTGAAAGCAGTCCTTCTAAAATCTCGCATAATCTCGTTTGCGGTTTTACACCAGAATTTAACATGGAGCGTGGGCACGCGTCGCTGACTGTGAACCAACTCAAACGCGAATTACTTGAATGTGGTGCCATAACAACATGAAGAAAATGTGAATTGATTGAAAGGTATGTGTTTTCTTTTCATTTAGTGCTTGAAACATCTTTGAATCTTTAAAAAAAAATCAAAGATTAGTCGAGGTGTGTGAGCATCAAATCTGTCATGTTACAATGTATGTAGACTATGTACGAGTACGCTCATATTTTTTAAGTAGAACGAAAGACGAAGATTTTGTTATACTTATTTATTTTCTTCATAAGGTTCTCCAAAGAAGGCCCATAATATTGGGGGCAATGCAAACTGTCGGTTACTGGACCCCAGGCCAGCCAACTTCAGACATCGAGCAGGATACAATGATTACTTCAGGAATCTGACTTCACATCAGTGCCAAAGATAGATGTAGCCACCAGATATGCCTACCCTAAAGCTGACTTACAGGCGGCAGTGGTGGACCACGACTATTGCCAAGTGCCATGGATAGAATAAAGCATTGATAGAGGGAATGATGTAAGTGAAAGCAGAGGACTAATATTAAGAATCAGGCAATTATCAAACTAGATGATGCGTGACATCATAGAATAATAATATTGAATCGAAACTAGTTAATGAAAATTAAGTAGCCGTGGCATGGCGGAGGACTGCACCTTCTGGGCGCTTTTCTAGTTTATTATGAATGATTGACGCACAACCCCTATACATGCACCTGCGTGTGAAAGGAGATCGTTAAAAACATCGCTCATTTCCAGTTTGAAAGATCTGGGTCACTGAATCGATGGGACTCGTTGTTTTCCTTTGTAATATACTATCTTCCATGCTTTAATGGGACATGAATATTTCAGGTTGGGGAACAAACAGCAAGGACACTGAGCGTAGCACGTTACAACAAGGAAAGAGCGCAATCTGGCACAATGAGAGACAATGGCAGTTCATTGCTTCCAAATTTGGAGATATAATGGCAGCTACAGAGAAGAACAAACTGCATGAGTCACTGTTGTGTCCAAAACCATTGCAGACACATGACAGTTGGTCCCAGACCTGATTTCTCCTTTTTGGAATGTGTATCTGGTGCTCTGCGCCTAAAGAAAACACACAAATACTATACTCAGTTACAAGACCAGATGTTCATTACAAATCCTCACTCTGCTATTTTGTTGTGTTTACACGCAAAGATCTGTTCGTGGAGTTGATCCATTCTGACACTGGATATTTGACATGCATTTTTCCCAGGCGCACCTTATTTTATGAAAAACACTATAGGAAGTATGTGGCAGCTAGTTTGTAGAAAGTATGAGATAGCTTAGCTGCAATCACAATTTTGAAGTGTCATTGTGAAAAACATGTTTTAGCTAAAATGAAATAATTTGGTGGTGCAAACTTTAAAGCGTTTTTAGTGCAATGAAATAATTTGATGACGCTAGATTATTTACAATACAGAACAAATATGGTTAAGCTGTTTTTTTTTTTCAAATTTTTTACCGTTATTAAGTAATTTGGTGGTGTTATATGTTCTTTACAAAAAGTGTGGTTATGCTGTTTTTAATAATATTTAACTGTAATGAAAAAAAAATTCTATGATGCTATTTTGTTAAGTATTTTTGGTGGGATGAAATAATTTGGTAATTTTATTTCCAGCAAATAATTTGGTTTTGCTGCTTTTTTAATGAATTTTCAAAGTGATGAAGTATTTTGGTGGTTCTATTCAAGTAAAATAATTGAGAAGTGCTATTTTGTAAAAAGAACAAAAAACTGTTAATTTGTAAAATGTTTGCTCACTTTAAATTTTATTTCTTAAACTGTTGGACATAAGAAAACGCACTTTGACAATCATACGTCCTAAGGGCACTTTCTCGCTATGGAGCTTTCTGTTCAAAATTTTATAGGTTTTGCCAAGATCAATAAACCTTTCTACGTGTATTCTTTTTGAGGCAACTCGCCTATCTCTAATTACTGTGCCTGGGTCAAGTTGTGACTGGCCCTTTAACATGGAAGGTGTGTTGACATGGACAACCCTCAACTTCAAACGAAGCCCTGAATCCCCAGAAAAATTATGTCCACCTTGCCGACTTTGACATTCAGGTACACAACAATACTGAGGCATGTTTATTATGAGCAGTGCCACAGTCACAGGTGTGTTATTTCCAAAATGGCGACTGAGGAAGGACTGAATTCACACTAGCGACACCTGGCGCCAAGCGGGCTGTTATACCCCAAGGAGGCGAGATCGTCCCAATATGTTCAATGTAATGCCCATACATCTAACTGTTCTTATATAGTGTACTGTCCCGCGCTGCCACTGTATTTAAACATACTTTACAGAATTGTACAGTCCAACTGCCTTTGGTTGCAAATGAACGTTATCACTATAACCTCTTTCTTTTAGCTCTGCAGGGGCGTATCCAGAGATATTTACTGACAGTCTTCCAAATCATCTTTGTTGATTCATCCTCCAATTTTGACGTCTTCCAGCAGAAAAAAATAGATATCCGTCAATGTAAACTTGAAAATCTGACCGTCTTCCGGAAGACCCAGAAGACGGCCTAAATCCGCCCCTGCTCTGATCGGGCAATATCGGACTACCTGCGCCATATATAACCACCGCAGCAGTGCGGTATATATCAATGCAAAACAAAAGTTGTATATATGATATATTTATATCAGTACTTACGTCTGATATTGTGCTCTATCTCCTCTGTAGGCTTATGCGACTTTGCGGACAGTACATGTACAGCCTTCAACATACACAGGAGCTTTGCATAGAAGTATATTACAAAGGAAAACAACGAGTCCCATCGATTCAGTGACCCAGATCTTTCAAATTGGAAATGAGCGATGTTTCTACTTTCACACGAAGATGCATGTATAGGGGTTGTGCGTCAATCATTCATAATAAACTAGAAAAGCGCCCAGAAGGTGCAATCCTCCGCCACGCCACGGCTACTTAATTTTCATTATTTTATGAATTATACAATTATTAATGGAATCATAGACTGGGTTCCCATACCTAGATCGATCTAATAGGATGGTAAATTGCTTTCAGCTTTAGCGGCTTACATGTCTGGCACGCCTACTGAAGCTGCTTTACACGATAGTTAATTACCCGGCCTCATTGGGCGTGACAGATATCTAAGCCGCTTAAGATGATTGCAATTTAGCGAGAATCACCTAGGAGATAGATCGATCCACAATTAGTGCGATAGGGTCTGGGAACGGTCCCATTGATAGACCTTAAGGGTCATTTAAGCTATCCGACTGATGCATAAGTGGCACATGATAATAAAATACTGGCACTGGTCAAGCTGTTATTGATTATGCTAGCTGTCTGGTTGCAGTAGGCGGAAGTAGTATAAATGGACAGATTTGAATGACGCACGTTGCAGTAGTCTGGGATGAGTATAAAATATTCATGAGAAGTCAGAGGGGCGGAGCTAATGGCGCATGCGTGACAGGACGGATAAGGAACGTTGCCATTTGGTACGGTTTAGAACTTTGAATCAGCTAGTCAAAATTATAATTTCAAGCGGGGACCATTGGTGTGGTTTTTTTCAGACATCGAAATCAGACATCCCCCAAGAGAAAATATATCTAAATAATTTTGACCTACATCCACGCGTGCTGAGAGCTTGCGCAAAGTCAGTGTCAGTGTACCGGAAGTTTTAATAATAATAATAATAATAATAATAATAATAATAATAATAATAATAATAATATTTACTAACAACCAAGAAAGTTGGATTTTACTAGTGAAAGAAGTTTTAAATATTAATACCATAATTAAATGTATCTAATAAAATCTATCTATCTAAATCCGCCACTGCTATATTATATAACGCCCGAACTGTCAGTGCCCTAAAATATAAGATCGACAGTTGCAAATTCGTTGTTATCCATCATTGTTGTCGTCCCATGTTTTCTTTTAATTGAATAGTAAAAAATTTAAATGTCAATGGTGCCATCAGGCATATTGTTTATCACACCAGAAATCTAAGGATTTTAGATCCCGTAATCTTTGCTAATGAATTTATAGAATATTTCTATTGATTGGTTCAAACGCTTTAACGAGGCAATGGTGAACCTATATTAACACGTAACATCTACATTGTAACTTACAAGGTGAATATTTTAATGTTAAAACATTACGGTGAATTAAAGATAATGAAATATTCATTTTAATATTAGATCTTAAAGGGATAACAATTAACAGGTACCGGATATTTGTGCAACGGCGGATCTTGGAAAGACACACTTTAGGAGCATCCTTTTCCGCCTTCCATACCTGAAACCAGTGCTGCTTACTGTAAACAATTCTAATTCAAATATCCACAGAAATAAGATTATGGGACCATTCCCAACCCTATCGTACTAATTACGGATCGATCTATCTCGCAGGGGTTCTCGCTAAATTGCAAACAACTTAAGAGGCTTAGATGTCTGTAACGCCTACTCAAGTTGCTAGAGGGTAATTAATTATCGTTTAGCAGCTTCAGTAGGCGTACCAGACATCTAAGCTGCTTTAGTTGAAAGCAATTTAGCGAGAAACCCATTGGAAATGGATCGATCCTGATAGATAACTAAGTTTAAGATCAGGGACACTGTCTTTACCAGAGGTATACGGTAGTGCGTACGTTTTACAAGGTGATACGTTACCTCATCCGCCACTTCATTCAGTTACATCATTTAAAAACTGCACCATTCGTGCATTTACTACCCGGACATGTGTGTGTGTGTGTGTGTGTGTGTGTGTGTGTGTGTGTGTGAGAGAGAGAGAGAGAGAGAGAGAGATTTAACATTATTTCTCATTTCATTACAATTAAGGTTCTAGTGAAACCTCGTATTTGTAGCAAAATGGATTTCTGAAATCTGCAAGATATGTATTATTGTGTGTGTGTGTGTGTGTGTGTGTGTGTGTGTGTGTGTGTGTGTAGAGAGAGAGAGAGAGAGAGAGAGAGAGTAAAGACGATTGACAGAGCTACACCTGCAGAAATAGCAAAATGAAAAAAAAAAGCACTGCCTTGTGTAAACACTTTCAAAAAGCAATGAATGCTACAATAAAAAGCAGAGCGAAGCGGTGCTGGAGATACCTAATAGCTCAAGTATTAGGCTTCATTCACATGCAATGTCTATTTTCTAAATTCTATTTTCTATTCGCGGTATGTCTTATGATCACGATCTGTGCCCTGAATATCCCGCGGCGTAATTACTGGCAGCGCGAGCCAGTTACTATAAGTTAAATAGACTTTCCATGTGAACGAAGCCTTACTTCATGTCTGTCGACAAGAGTAACTATATATATATATATATATATATATATATATATATATATATATATATATATATATATATATATATATATTTGATAAGCAAGGCCAGGCCTAACCAACTACCAGACTGGACACCTAAGGATCCAGAATTAACCGGTATATCGGACCACACTACCCGTTTTCAAGGTGTGTGTCAGATCGCATTTCGGAGTATCAGTTAGAACACCGACAGGATGAGCCTACGCTCGGCTGTCACCTTGATTGGATAGTAAACGATTGTCGTATTTAATCGCTATATGATTTTAAAACCGGGTGCATAAATTTGAAAGCCACCTAGATGAACCTTAGACTGCCACATTAATCTAATACAATGCAAAAAAGCCCTATCAAAAGTGGTTAAAACATTCAAACCGAATGTCGTAAAGTCCCCTTATACCCCAATAGAGACAATGAAATAGAGTAGGCCTACTCCAAAGTAAGAGTGCAGTTTAAGGTTGTTCAGCCGAGCGTGGATGAGCCCGCAGTCGTCCTACAAATTTGTTCTTGGGTATGATACTCCGAAATGCTTTCCGACACACACCTTGAAAACGGGTAGTGTGGTCCGATATACCGGTTTATTCAGGATCCTTAGGTGCCGAGTCTGGTAGTTGGTGAGGCCTGAAGGCGTAACAAGTGAGGGGGGGGTGGGGGTGAGGGTGAAGTGGTGGGGCAGCTGTACAGGTACATGTATACTATGGGACAGTAATTCCAATACAGTATAAAGACAAAACCAAGCGACTTTTCATCCCTGTATTAGGTACCTTGCATATCAAAGAAAAATCACCTAAAGGCTTTGTGTTCTGTTATTACATCATATGGGCATACATATGAATCATGGTGGTTATGCATAATAAAACAAAACGCACAAATAAAAAAAAAAAAGCTACAACCAAGCTATCGTACGACTGACATAAACAACGTACAGGAATTTATGGCAAAAACCTTGCAGGTAGTGCACCTCTACCAGGGCCACAGATTGATTTTTCACAAGATATGTCTCTGGTTAAATAGATGGCTAATCTCTGTAATGTCGCCTCAGCAAAAATTGTCAACAGAAT